ATCTCAGGGCTGTCGTAGGAAAATACCACACACACCACTCCCGTCAACTGGGGCCCAGCTGCATGGCATCAGCAAGAGCCCGGTTGCACCCGCGTTGTGACGCTGAGCCCCGCAGCAAAGTGGACAGGGCAGGAGGCAGAGGGACAAGCTCCAGGTCACGTCAGGCCAGACACCTGAATGCCAGCAGCGAGGCCTCGGGTGGGAGGAGGCACCTGTTCTCTCCTCTACACCTGCCTACGTCCTGGTGACAGGACAGGGGGCATGTGCCAAGAAAATGTTTCTGGGATGTCTGCCGGCTGAGAGAGGGTATGGTGTGGCGGGAAGCAGGGAAGCCACGGGAAGCAGAGAGTCAGGCCTGGGGATGCCGCCTGAGCTCAGGAAGCAGTGGGGACAGATGTCTGACTCGGGGTGACCAGGAGGGCCCCCCACCCTCCCCGGAGGGTGACAGAGCAGGCCCACCTGCTGGGTGCGGGAGGCACAGGAAGGGAGGCCCCTACATGCATGTAACGTGGGCACGTGTGACGTGAGTGTGTGTGGTATGAACACGTGTGGCATCAGCTTCGTGAAAGGGTCAGTTTGAAGGAGCACACAGAGGATCTTAGCAGCAAGCAGGACGTGGGATGGAGAAGGTTCTGGAAGGCACACGTGGGCTGGAGGACAGCTCTGGGGACATCCTTGGGCAGACAGAGGGGAGTCCCCAGAGGCGTGAGGAATGTGAGGGTACCAGGACAGCCCTGGGCGGCCGGCGAGCTGGGCCACCTGGTCACTCCCTGGCCGTGCGTGCGTCACTGCCCTGCGATGGGAGGGGACAAGAAAGGCCTCATGCGCCCAGACGGGCCCACAGCACTGCTTGGGGCCTGGAAAACAGGGGAGGGAGCTGGGAAGAAGGACTCCACAAGGGCTGGTGACTGTGGACACCAAGTAGCCTCCACGGGAGAAACAGAGGGGACAGCACGTGGACCAAGCTCAGGGTCACGGAAGCCAGGACGGGCTGTGCTGTGGACAACGGGACAACTGGGCCCAAAGGAGAGCACCCTGGGTCCACCGCTCCTTCCGACACGAGCGAGCGCACACCACTGAACGAGCTCAGCACTGCGTGCATACGCCCCTTCTGCTCCCCACAGAACATTCTGGAAGGGAGGCCTCTGTACACATGCGGATGGTCTGTCCATCCCCAACTGGCAAGAGGAAGGTGTGTGCCCTCCAGCTGCCCGCCACTGCCTGGCTCTGGGCTCTGACACTTCAGTGGCCTCCCAGACTGTGGCCTCACACAGTCACCCACTCAGGTCAACTCACGTGGCGATGGGCACCAGGAACTGGTAGGCACCACGGAAGAGCACAAAGGCCACGTAGCACAGCCAGATGTTGTTGGTACTGTACATGAGAAAGACCAGCGCGGCCTGCGCCGCCGTCACACCTGCGATGACCAGCTTCGCCCACAGCGCCCAGTGGACCTTCACAAAGCCCGCAGAGAACGAGGTGATGGCACCTGGGGAGACAGGACACGTCACCGCCATCCTGGGGGGGTAGGCAGGGCGGGCGTGGTCGGTGGAGCCGGGGGCCTACCGAGCAGGGTGGACGCGGCGTCCGCCCCCCCGTTGTAGACCGAGGTGGAGTCCGTGGTGGGGTGGACCACGTTCCACAGGATGTGCACGTAGTAGACGATCAGGTAGTAGGCAGCCGAGTTGAAGACCCACCACAGGGACCAGAGGCGGAGCTGCGGCGACCGCAGGTTGTCCCCCAGCTCCCGGAGCATGCGCACCAGGGTCCAGTCCCGCCAGGCCTCCAGCAGCGCCCGGCCCAGCTTGGCGTCCGGGTTCATGCGATCCAGCTCGGAGGGCGCAGCCCCACGGCACACAGGGGCGTCGCGGTTGAAAAAGAGGCTGCGTCTGGGGCGCTTCAGGAAGAGGGCGAGGACCAGGCTGAAGGCGAGGAGGCCGAGCGAGATGTAGTTGAGCGTGGAGAAGGACACCCTGCCCACGGTGACGAGCAGCTGGCCCAGCACGGAGCTGGTGAAGACACCCAGCAGCGTGGCCGCACGCGAGTAGCTGGCCATGCGCTGGTAGCGGGCGGGGCGCACGAGCGAGAAGATGTAGGAGGAGTAGGCGATGCGGGCGGCCATGGTGACGCTGTAGAAAAGCTCCATGAGCTGCATGTGCGGCACAGAGTGGCCCCACAACAGCAAGAGCCACACGGAGATGTAGCTCAGGCTCTGCAGCACCAGCACCGGCTTGTACCGCAGGTAGTCGGTGAGCAGGAACACGGGCACCAGCACCACCAGGTAGCAGTAGGACAGCACCGGCGTGATCTCGTTGGTGACCTGGGGGACAGCAGGCCGGTGACACCGGGGTTACGGTGTCCGCGTCCCCCCGCGCTACCAGGTCCTACAGGCTCAGCGCCGTCGGGACCGTGCAGGCGTCCCGCGGTGAGGACACGGCCCACGCCATGCCGGGACCACCTCGCGAATGGTCCCGAATGGTGCGGTGACGTGTGCTGATCGGGTTTGTGTGCTTTCACGAGAGGAAACGTGGCGTGGTTTCTCCTGTCGCTGACAGCGTGACCGACTTACGCTCACGCCGACACAGCTGCGGCAGCCCCGGGGGCAAAGGCCTCTGGCAACAGGTTTCACAGAGCAGACACCACAAGGGAAAGGGGACAGGAGCGGAGAGGCCACAGGAGGGCCACGCCTGTGTGCAGAGTGAGGCCACCCGCCGCCAGCCTCACGGGGTCCCAGGCCACAGGGCCACCGCGAGGGAAGCCCTGTACCCAACCCCACCAGGCCCTGCCAAGGGGCTCTGGCCACGGCTCGGATCCCCCAGGGTGGGCACAGCTGGGCCCTCCGAGGTCGCGGCCTCTCTGGGGACCCACTGACTCAGGGCACTAACTGTGACTCAGGCCACGGAACCACCTAAGCCAGCCCGAGCGGCCCTCAGCCCCAAGAGCTAGCGGGCTCCAAGGCCCCACGTAAAGAAACTGAGGCCCGCAGTGCAGCCTCGGGTCAACAGTGGGGCTGTGCTGCGCCCACCACCTACCAGCCTCTGGGGGACTGGGTGGACCCCAGCACCTCAGCCTTCACCCACGGGTGTGTGCAGCCCTGCCCGCCCAGGGGGTGCCCCAGGTGGTGCCGGACAAGTGTGACAGCGCTTCTAGGGTTGTGTCCAGAGGTCCAGACAGTGGGCGTGGTGTCCAGGAGCATCAAACAGCCCCTCAGTTACGACATCTCTGGACAAATAGCTAGCCACCAAAGCCCAAGGGGCCCGAGAGGCAGGAGGACCAACCAGCCCTCCCCCTCCCCTCCTCCCCCCACTCCCCTGCCTCCTCCCTCCACTCCCCTGCTTCCTCCTCCTCCTCCCTCCACCCCCACTCCCCTGCTTCCTCCTCCTACTCCCCTCCTCCTCCCGCCTGCATCCTCAATGGGCTTGGCAGGCAAAGGGCTGACCCATGTCACACTTGGAAGGTACTAGGGAGTGGGCACCTACAAAGTCCTGGGGCAGGTGACATCCATCAAGTGGCACAGCACTGGCGCAAGGACAGCCTCCTACTGGCCTGAGCCTAGTGTTGCCTGGATGCCTTCCCAACAGCCTAGTGTGTGGACAGGCCAGGTCCAGGCTGACGGGCGAAACACAGGGACCGTGGCCGGATCTGGATCCAGGTGGCTTCAGGGCAGCTGCTTCTCTGAATGGGCAGGCTTGGCTGGGCCCCAGAGCAGCCAAGACAACTGGGGTGGGGGCCAGAGCCATGGGAAGGGCAGGAAGGATGCAGAACAGTGGGTTCTCAGGAGTGGGACGAGGGGACCCCAAATCCAGGAGCAAGCGCGAGAGCCCGATCCCTGGCAGCACCTGGATGGGCGCTGAGTCCCGCCTGAGGGCAGGGCAGGGGCAGGGCAGGGGCCTTCCCTAAGAAGGGCACTTGACGATCCCAGCGCTGACAGGCGACAGGTGGGGCCAGCCCTGTGAGGAGTGCTGTGAGCAGTCCTGTATGGGGGCTCCCCGTGGGCGCGGCACCACAGGACTCAGCCCAGGCAGCTTGATGTAAGGGAATCATCACCTGAAGGTACAGAGCAAGCCGACCCAAGGCACTCGCTAAGGCAGGGAGGACAGGCGTCCTCAGCAAAGAAGCATAAAGGACAGTCTGGCGGGACCAACACTTAAAACCCCCCATAACAAGACACCATGAGCACAGTGAGGGGACCACTGTGTCCTGCTGGAGCGCCAGGACCGGGAGAAACAGGTGACACACAGGCAGTCCGATCCCCCAGGGCAAGCCCGAGGCAGACAGCCCCGCCGGGCGATGTGGAGGCTGGCCCAGCAAGCATGGTGACGGCCAGGTGACAGCCTGGCCGGGCCACACACACCAAAGGAATACACGCCGACAGCAAGCCGGCTTCCGACGACTATCAGATGGGCAGAGACTCAGCGGTGCCAATCCGCGGTCGGTGAGGGGAGCGCGAAGCCAGCCACTGGAACGGGAGTCCAAGCCTGCGCACCGGGCCCGCGCACCAGACCCGCGCATGGCTGTGCCCTAGACACCTGAAGCAGCATTTCCCTCGGGGGCAACAAACTGGCCGCTGCCTAAGCACGAGGGGAACCTGCGGTTCAGCCCCTAGAGTGTGCTGAGGCCAGAGCAGCCTGACCAGGTGTGGACAAGTGTCCCTGGGCAGCGCGGTGGGGAGACGCTGCACTCGCCTGCACGTGTCAGACACAAGCCAGCGCCCCTGCCCCCACCCCATAGGGCCCCTGAGGGTCAGGCCTCATTTGCACAGCAACTCCAGAGGACTTAAGAATTCCAAGGTCTGCAAGGGGGAGGGGTCAGCCTCTCAAAGAAAGGCAGGGCCTCCCAGAAAAATCCAGCAGCTCAGTGGGACCCAGGGACACGCCGGAGGGGACGGGGGCCGAGGGCGGGGGCTGAGCTGGACCAGGGAGCACAGGCAGAGCCAGCCTGGGGCCAGGCTCCGGGGCAGGAGTGGGGTGGGGACCTGAGCTCAGACAGAAGCCCTGGATAGAAGGCCTGTCCCTGTCGGTGCATTTTATCTACCAACAGCCCTTCGGCTCTTTTGTTCTTCCGATAAGGAAAGCACTAGGGATAAAACCCATTGCTGCTTTCGCTCCTCTAGGGCCACAGGGTAGAAGTTATTAAAGTTTCAACCCGGAGATCTTTGTTCTTCCCGCTGAGTAAATTCCTTGGTCCTCTCTTCAGGCAAATGGCTGTTAGGTCTCTGCTGGAAGCAAGCCTGCCCACCAGGTGAGCCCTTGCGCGTCCCCGCACTCTTCCCTCAGACCCTCAGCAGATGCGGACCCCTCCGTGGCTGCCCTCACTCTTTGGCCTGGTTAGGAAGTCAGAGTCTGGCCCTCGTGTGAAGGTGCCCCTTTGGGGGGTAGGGGGCAGGACCCCTCACACCACACAGCCACCTAACCTGGCAGGCTCCGCTGCTCTCAGGCTGGGGAGCGCCCCTGCCCACACCCGCCCCCCCGCAGGCCATGCCCAAGACCCCCCCCAACCGCAGACCCAGGCCCACCCCCCCACCCCCCACAGGCCGTGCCCATGCACCTGTTCCCGTGTGAAGTTCTTATCGGGGCCCAAGAGGTAGGGTGTGATGAAGCTCTCCCCGGGCCGCAACTGCGCCATGAAGCCGTAGAAACACAGATAGAACACCAGACACCTCCAGGACTTGAGCTCAAGGTCCTGCCCCGGCTCTGCAGGCATCTGCTTCTCCGCCTCCTGGCTGGAGGGCACCATGCTGCCCAGGCCCCCCGGCGCCCCGGACAAGACGATGACGTTCCTGGAAGACGAGCCCAGGGTCAGGGCAGCCCACCAACAGCCCTCAGACCGCCCCCTCCCCCAGACACTCCAGTGCTCTCTCCTGTCGTCAGGATTCAATGTCCACACCCACACGGGGAGGGGGCCCATGCGGCCTAGCCTGTCACCACCTCCAGGAGCCAGCAGGGTTGTTGCACCCCACACCCCACCACCCACGGGGTCTCCTTAAATATCAATCAACTCAAACCAAACACAACTTAAAGTCCAGTCTTTCAGGCACAGTCATCTCAAGAGCTCCCAGTGGGGTGGCTGTGGCTATGGGCTGGGCACGAATCCCTCCCCAGGAGAGGTCCCAGGGGTACAGCTGGTGTCACGCACCCAGCTAGAGCTACTAGAGGGTCACCTGGCCCCGAGATGGCTCAGAGCGTATGGGCTGGAAGAGTCCTGCTGGGGCGCCAGGCACACAGCTGGCCACAGCGAGGGTGGCTGGTGGCCCCAACTGCAACCTGGGAGTGCCGTCCCGTCAATCTCAGGTGGGGGGACTCCATGCACAAGACTGGGGACGTGGCAGATGGGGTTTGCAGGTAAAGCTGACTGTGGGTGAGGAGGGCAGGAGCCTCTGGGAACGGGGGTGACAAGGTGACAGAAGGGACCACATGGGACAGAGGCCCAGACCTTAAGGCTCATGACCCTGGCAGCCCCTGAGGCTCCCCTAAAGAGAAGGAGCTAGAGGCGTGGGCTGCCAGGTGGCCCTGTCCAGCCCTGTGTCCCCCAAGGGCAGCCTTACCCAGGGGCACTTTGGGTAGAGCCAGAAGAAGCATTAGTCAGACCACTAGGTCACATGCGGAGAACTCTCCGTCCAGAAGGCTCCCTTTGATGCAGGTGTGAACAGCACCCTTCCAAAACCCACTAAACCTATTCTACCAGAGAGGGCCAGGGATCAGATCTACTTGCATGTTTCCACTGTTTATCTCTGTTACTGATTCTATATGTCAAGTGATACTGGTTTTGCATTTATGGCATTGATACAAAGTTCCTTTTTAAAGAGTTAAGTCAAAAGCAAGCAGCCATGAATTGTGTCAGGTGAAGCCCGTGCCAAGAGGACCTGTGGAGAAACCCCCTCCAATTCCCAGCAGTGGGCACAAAAAGTTCCCAAGATGTGGGGCCAGCTTTGCAGGGCTTGGCGGGTGCAGGGACCCCAAGGAAAAGCCACCAGATTCCTAGCACATGCAGCTCAGAGAGTGTCCCAGCAGGAAGTGCTCCCACACTCCTCCCAGGATGAGGCCCAGAAAAGCCAGGGGACTGCAGAGGACCCCCTCCCTACCCAGGACCATGGATGGCAGACGGAGTCCTCACACCAGGCCTGGGGCCTCAGCAAAGTGAACTGTGGCCCAATGAGCAGGACTGTTCCCACCTTCTGGGGCCCCTGCAGGAAACTGTCAAATCAGGGACACAGGCCAAGGGCTCCTGAGGACAGACTCTGGTACTCACTTTTGCAAACCCACTGGGAGCTTGCACAAACGGAAGGGAGGGCCCCAGGGCCTGCCACAGCCAGAACCACTCACACCTCAGGGTGCACCGCCAGCCCGAAGACTCCCCTCAAGCTCACTTTCCCACTCCCAGGTACACTCCCTAGATGCCAGGGCAACCCCACACCCACCCAGCTAAGCTCTCCAGCATGGGGTGAACAGCCAAGAATCCACCTAAGCCCGGGGTCCCCGGGAGTGGGTCCCCACCCCACCCCACCCCCCACCTCCATCCTCAGGAGCCTGAGGACTTGGCCCTCCTGTTCAAAAGGTGTCATCTCCAGAAGCAATGGGAACTTCCCTTACCTGGTGTACCCTGAATCGTGGGGCGATGGCGGAAGCTTCAAACGCCAGCACCAAACACACAAACGTTTTCTGTTCTGTATCCTAGACTTCTACAGCTTCCGAACCCGAGGAGGAGTGCTTCTTACACTACACCGAGAACCGTCAGAAACTCCAGCTCTGGGCTCTGCCCTACGCAGCTATCTGAAGGTCTGGGTCACGGCCCAGGACTCTGCACCCTAACACGTCCCACAGGCATGCCGGAGCCAGCGAAAGAGCACAGGACCCCCGGGAGACACTGCCTCAGGCTTCCTGGCTGGACACGCAGAGCTCCACATCCAGTATTCCCAGGGAGCATGGCAAGCCCGCCTCCAACCACTGCTCAGAAGGGCCCCCAGGAGTCCTCCAGGGTCACAACAGAGGTAGGGGGAGTGTCTGCACTGTCACTGTCTCTGCAGACACTCCCCCTACCCTGTGAGCTCCCTGGCCAGCACCTGGGGCGGCTCCCTGCATGCCTGTCCTTCTGGGGTTTGAGGCTGGTCAACCTCTGCTGTGACCCAGGAGGACTCCTGGGGGCCCTTCCCTCCCAGCCCACCCCCCAGCTCCATCCCTGCAACTTGGGAACACTGCCCAGTGCAGGGGGCAAGCTGGACGACCTAATCCCCCAGCCCCCCCAGTCCCCCCAGTCCTCCAGCCCCCTACACATTTCATAATGGTGGGAGCAAAGGAGAGGCCTCCCCCGCTGCTGGGGAGAAGCCCAAGCCTCTGGGGCCACCTGTTCTTTGATCACATGATGCTAAGGGCCCCTGTGTCCCCACAGCTCACTGAGCCCTGGGCTCTGTGTCCCACACACACGTCTCGCCTCTGGGGACCACACTGTGTTCACTCTACACTTGTGGCCCATTTGCAGGCGTGGGGCTCCCCCTCAGGGCCAGTGCACCTGAGGTCTCCAGTTCCCAGCAGGAGTCTCCTCGGAAGAGCAGCGTGGCCTCCCAGCCCACTGCATGGGCACCAGAAAGGGGAACTCAAGCTCTCCTCAGCCCGGGCGCCCAGGACCTGCTCTCCAAAATCATGAATGGAGATGCTCACCCTGGATAAATAGCACGTTTACTGCCCCACAGCTGGCCGAGCCTCACCCTGCCCCATGCCAGAAATGGCAGAGAAAACGCCGAGAAGCACAGAAGGTACCAGACCCTTCAAAATTGGGCACCTGCATTTCTGCTTCAGACATTCTTCCTGAGTGTTGCTTAGAAAATCTGCCCCTCCTCCAACTGGGGTGGGGGGAGGGTCACAGTCCTGGACCTCCCCTTCATGGGCAGCTCCCAGATTCCCGAGATGAGAGGTCCCACGGCATGGCACATGTGGCAAAGCGGACCTCTGGTCACCCCTCCCAGCTCAAGTGCCCCCAGTGGTCTCCCAGAAGAAAAGATGGGCCGACCCTGAGGGGCTGCTAGCACTGCAGGGCTACAGCAAGAGCCCACGTGAGGTGGTTAGCGATAAAGTTCATCTGAACGAGCAGACACCTGGGGACACGAGGCCTGTGTCCACTCTGGAATGTGCATCTTTGAGGCGCATCTTCCACACTTCTGTCAACACCGTTGCACGCGCACTTTCAAAGACTTCTGAAACAGGCTGGACAACAGGTCACTCAAGTTGAGCCAGGCAGGACAGGGTCATGGGGAGGAGCTTGGCCCCATCCCTGGAGCACTGGCTGCCACACAGAAACAGGGGCCGAAACTCCAGAGTCTGACTGGAAATCCATTTTTAAGAGTGGCTGCTACGGAAAAAATGTGGAGCACCCCGGCAGCAGTGTGTTTGCGAGCCCGGGGCACGGCAGGCAGCCTCAGCCGTTACTCAGCTTCCCCAGGAGAGGCCACCCATGCCGGGGACTCAGGTTCGAAGAAAAGGGCCAACGGACCCAGAAGCCAGCCGTCTCAGCCAGCGAGGCTGGGGCCCTGCCTGCATTCGGAGTGGACTTTGTCTGCCTCGGGTCCATTTATTCAACTCACCTGAGCTGGGTGTTAATCGCCAACCCTGACAGGAGGCCAGCCACTACGGCTATGACTCAAAGTCCTCTCTCAAAAACACAGACTGCTCTTCTAAACACAGAGGCCCTTCCCAGGCTCACCCTCCAGGAAGGGAAGGTGGAGAGACCCCATCACACACTCACAGGTGCAGAAACAGCCCAGAAGGCAAATGAGGTGCCCAAGCTCAGGGCAGGTGGCTGGCAGGAGGACTGGCCTGGACTGCAAGTGTGCTGACCCCAGCCCAACACCATGCAACCTCAGGCCTCTTCAGGGCAAGCAAAGGAAATATCAGCCGACCAAGAGAGTCAAGGGAGAGAACCGAGGACCCCATCACGTGCCTCCCAGGGAAGGTTCTAACAGTTCCCACAGGCACCCCTCCTCGCAACCCTCCAGCACCTGTCCTGGGGGGAAGTATGCAGCACCAGCTGCTACTCCTGGCTCTGTCCCTCCAGAACCTAGTTAGCCTGGAGACCCAAAACCAAAACAAAACCCAACACCACCTGTCTTGTTTTGTGTTTTAAACCAGCTACTACTCTCCCAGGTTAACAAGGAAGGTTCATTACATTCTTAGTAAAAACGAAAAACCCTTGCACCCTCCCCCCAAATCACCTGACACAGTTCCCTGTCCCAAAGAGTAAAATTAAGCCCCCTGGCCATCACTGCTGTAGACACTCAACCCACAAGTTTAAAACACCCAGGAGGTGTTGATCACCTTTGCCCAGCACCAATAACTGTAATATCTGGCATTATTAACATCCACCAAAGCCCCCTCAAAAAGGAATTAGTAGCACCAAGTCAGGAGAATGCAAACAATGAGCAATGCAGTCTAGCCAGAGGCAGCAGGGGGAGACACCATCCGGGAACCCTCAGGCATGGGCTCTGGGCTCCCAGACCTGCAGAGGGAGGCAGTTCCCTGAGGCCAGAAAGTCCTGGCTCTGCTGATTCCATCTGGGCTGCAGTTGGGCCCTCCAGGCTCCCTTGCATAGAGCAAACACTTGTCACTTTGCAGGGAACCGGGTGGCAGCTCCAAAATCCCACCTGCACTTTAAGCAGAATGGAAAACAGTTTTTTCTAGATGCATTCTGGATTTCTGAGCTGGCTCGGATTCTAACTTGTACTCAGACCAGGCCGGCTGGGGCTGGGC